TGGCCTTTGGGGAGTCTGACATGGGATGAGTCCGAGGAGGGAGCAGTTGCCCATTGATACAGGTTAGACTAAGATAGTAGGTGCTGATACGTGCATCCGGAGCTGGTGTGAGGTCTCCAGGGAGGGCCCCCGCAGTCTGTGCTTGGGCCTGGGCTGGTTCACTCTCTGGTCAGTGAGTCGCCGTGCTGCTCACATTGGCAGGTGTTCTCTCTGTGAAGTGGACCTTCTCCTTGCCCAGACCAACCCCTCTGTCTGTGCCCTCGCTCCTGTCCCGTCCTTTCTTCAGCGGCTCATTGACACCACTGTTACCCCTCCTTACTCTGCCCTTCAGCTCTCCGTACTCATGGGCACCTCCCCCATCCTGAGAGCTTCCATCGTGTCATGCCCCACTACCATTATTCAGTATCTCCTCTCCACCCTTCTCAGCTCGACCCCTGGGAACGCCGTCCATCTCAATGATTCAGCTTCATCTCCTCTCCCTCTTTCCTGACCCCTCTGCTTTCCTCCCATGTCACTCAGCTGACATTGCCGTCTCCAGTCCCCAGGATCTCTGAATCCTTCGGGACCTCTCCAGTGCCCTTGATACCGTTGATCACTGCTGCCTTGTGGGTTTTCATGGCCCACTTCTCTCTCGGTCCTCCTCCCTGGCTAACCTCAATTCCTCCTCAGTCCGCATGACTCAGTCTTGATCCACATCAAACGCCTTCACTGTGGGCGTCCCCAGGGCTCAGTCCCAGGCCCTCTTCATTTTCCCCTCTGTGGTCTTCTCATTGGACGATCTCATTGGCTCCCCTGAGTTCGGTTGTTATTCCTACACAGGTGATTCCTGGATTTATCTGTCCAGCCTTAGTCTCTCTCCAGACCCCCAGCTCTCTATCACCCTGTTTACTTTACATTCAAGCTAGACAAGGTCTGGGCAGCTCAAACTTAACCTCTACAAAGCAGAATATTGGATCCTTCCCCCCACACCCTCCGCCTTCCGGCCTTCCCTGTTACCAGTGAGAGGACCACCATCCTTCCAGTCACCCGGGTCTGAAACCTCCAGGTTATCCTCAGCCCTTCACTCTCTCATGTCCCGTGTACAATCTCTTGCCGAGGCCTATCGATTAGACCTTCTCAGCATGGCTTCTGTGTGCCCCCTTCTCTCCTCCGACCCTGCCCCCACCCTGGTTCCGGCCCACATCTCCTCACGCCTGGTGTTGCAGTAGCCGCTGGGGCTAGGGAGGAGGTGCCAAGTGTGGAGGCCTAGCTTCTCTGCAAGATTAAACCTTTGGGAGCAAATATTTGGAAAGAAGTCGCCCCTTGTGGGTGCGGCGGTTCTGCTGGCTCTGCAGGGTGGAATGTGCACACAGCCTGTGCCGAGGGCCATTGGCCACAAGTGCCCATTGTCCAACCACAGGAGAGGAGATCGGGGGCTGCTCAGTCAGACGCGGCACCTGGAGGGTGACTCAGTCCTCTTGGCATGTGTCAAGTGGGACTGAGCGGCACTTGGAATTTTCAGGTGCGGTCCAATTGTCCTAGAAATGTCTCTGGGGATTGTGTTGCCTTTTGAGTTGATCCCATCCCGTTTGTTAGCAATCCAAGTGTCTGAAAGTTGGGCCTTTTTAAAAAGAATATCCCAAGGCAGTGTTTACAAAGTGCCTTTGCAATCAGTGCCTGGAACCCTGGGGGTTGCCTTTCATGGGTTTCCATGAAACATGGCACCTCAGAGGGGCCCGGGAAAGAATGGTGGCCTTGGAGTGCCGGAGCCCAGCTTAGAGCCGGGTTTTAGAGAGGAGGAAACCAACGCTCAGAGAAAGGGCAGTGACCTGCCCGGCGTCTCACAACTATTAAGTGGCAGAGTCAGGATTTGAAACTAGAACCTTTGGCCTTCCGTCTCCTATACCACACAGTCAAGAGAACTGAGTTCAAATTCTGACAGAGATGCCCAAGGGCTAGTCAGGTAATGGCAAAGACTCAACTTCCCCGTAAAATGACGTGGTTGTCTTTGTTCCCCCAACCTCCCAGGGTTGTCACCAGGAGTCAGACTGCTGCAGCTATGCCATGCAAGTTATTGAGGGAGTCATTAAGGTACTGGTCTCACTTTGCAGATGGGAAAGGTGGCGCAGTAGATAGAGCACTAGGCCTGGAGTCAGGAAGAGCCAGTTTCAAATCAGACACTTAATAGCTGTGCGAGCCTGGGCAAGTCACTTTACCCCGTTTGCCTCAGTTTCCTCATCTGTAACATGAGCTGGAGAAATAAATGGCAAACCGCTCCAGGATCTCTGCCAAGATTGGGGTCACAGAGAAATGACTGAACAACCACAAAGAGAGACCTTACAAGGGATGGAACTGGGATCAAAATTCAGCCAGGGTCCACCTTCCACTGCTGGGTCATGGCTCAGATAAAGGTTGCCAGTGTTCAGAAAGCTCGAGAGTCCATTACTCTTCGCCGTTTCAGGAAGGTCAGGCTGGCAAGGGTCACTGTACAGAATGGATCTTAGGGCGGAGGTTGGAGACCAGCCACTCAGCAGAGGAGGCGGTCAGAGGCTGAAGTGGAGGCTGGGGGCAGAAGGACTGGGGCAAGAAGCTGAGATTTGGGGCCAAGGGACATGCTCTGGAAAGAGGACTCATGGCAGGTGAAGGGGGAGGGTCGTTCCAGGAGCCCCAGGCTCAAGGAGGAGGATTTTCCATTTCTGGGACACTTCATGGCTAATAGACATCATCTTCCCAGCAACCTCTGGGGAGTCGGGGAAGCTCTGGGCCTCAGCTTCTTCATCCCTCAAACCAGGGGGTTGCTTCTCTGTCCTCCCGACCGAGAAGTGATGGATTTGAGACACAGAATGAGACGAACATTTTTGGACGAGGCCAGTGGGGGGATTTGTTTTGCTTGGCTGTGCCTCTCTGTTACAAGAGTTTTTTTTTTTCTTTCTTTTTTCGTTGGGCAGGGAGGTATAAGGGAGAGAAATAAATGCTTGTTAATTTTAAAAAATGTAATAAAAAAAACTTAATCTAGAGAGTTGGCCCAGATGATCACTGCAATCCCTTCCTGTCCTGACAGCCTGTGAGTCTGTTATCTCTGTGCTCAGGATGAGGAGAATGAGGTACGAAAAGGGAAACTGATTTACCAGGGTCATCTATGGATGAGGGGAATCACATGACGGAGCTGGGAAGCAAGTCCACGTGTTCTTTTGACAAGTCTGGTATTTTTTTCTGCCATGGACAAGGATCAGTAACCCCATCTTATGGATGAGGAAACTGAGGCCTGAGAAGTGAAGTATCAGAACCAGACCTCCAGCTTATGGGTTTAAGGGCCATCTCTTTGCAGATAGAGGTCCCCCACCACCACCCTGACAGATCCAGAGCCTGGCTTTCTCCTGAGCTCCAGGCAGACGGCACCAATTGCCCATTCGCTATTTTGAACTGGATGTCCTGCAGGCATACTTTCCTCTCTACACTGGCCCCTTTTTCAGACTTCCCTGCTTTTCCTGCTTTCCATCCAGTAACCTGAGGTCATAGAGCGTCATCCTCAACTCCTCACTGTCACATCCCATCCCTCCGCTCGGCCACCACATGAGTTGAGGACCCGACTACCTTCTCTGGGCTCCTACTTGTTCTTCCGCCCATAAGCCTCCTCACACTCCAGTCTGTCCCATCTTCATAGCAATCCTCAGAGGGAGGCAGTGGCCGGCAGGGAGACTTCAGCCTCAGTTTCTTCATCTTTAAAATCGGGGAGTTGCTCCTTCTCACAGAGAAGTGGGATTTTTTAAGACCCGTCCTTTGGTGACAGTACGAAGGGATTTCCCTTGCTAGGGTGTTTTATAGCATCCCTTGTATGAGCTGGTGCAGGGGGAAGGGAGCAGAACCAGGACAGTTTATGTAGTGACAGTCTTGTAAAGTTGTAAACAGCTTTGAAGATCAACGTAACGGCCAGCCACCGTTCCAGAGGATTCACAATGGAACGTGCCTCCCGCCTCCAGAGAAGGAGTTGATGGGCTCAGGGGGCAGATTGAGGTTTTGTAAAGCACAGAAACTTTTTTATGCAAAACAAATATCTGCATTAGCCATGCTTCCTCCCCCCCAAAAAAAAATTTAAAAAAAAAAACGAGAAAGAAAGAAGAAAAAAATACACTTCAGTTTGCCCGAGGCAGATAACATGTTTCATTATGAGTCCTTTGGAATCATGATTGGTCATCATGTTGATCAGAACAGCTGAGTCATTCACAGTTGATCATCGTTACAATGTTGCTGTCACTGTGTACAATGTCCTCCTGGTTCTGCTTACCTCACTTTGCATCAGTTCATGTAAGTCTTCCTAGGTTTTTCTGGAACCATCTCCCTCATTACTTCTTACAGCACAGTAGTATACCATCACAATCATCTGCTACAACTTGTTCAGCCATTCCCCAATGGACAGGCATCCGCTGGATGTCCAGTTCTTTGCCACCTCAGAGAGCTGCTATAGATGTTTTTGAACATCCGAGTCCTTTCTCCTTTGCCATTGTTAAGCAAACCTCAAAACTTTTCCTTCACCTGAATTTGAATCCATTTGCTAGCTGTATGCCCTTGGGGCAATTAAATTCTATCTTCTGAACCTCAGTTTCCTCATCTGTCAATGGGAATAATAATCCACGTACTTCATATGTCGCCAAGTTCTTGTGAGGAACCTTAAAGCATTGTGAGTGTGGAGTGTAAAGCGTGATCAGTATCAGATTTGTAACAAGATGTGGCCCTTGCAGATTTTAGAAATTTCCTGAACCTTAAAGGCCAAATTCCATGCTGAAGTATGCTATACTGTACTATACTAAACTGTACTATACTATATTGTACGCTACTATACTATACTATACCGTACTATACCGTACTATACTATACTATACTATACTATACTATACTATACTATACTATACTATACTATACTATACTATACTATACTATACTATA